GACCTTTAAGAAGTCTTCTATACAGAGAGTGCCTTTTAAAATTCTTTTATACAGGGATAAGTTCCTTCCTTTTTGATAAAAAAAGGTGTAATACACAAAAAAGATACCTATTCTAGAACTATTATGTTCTGTTCAGGTCTTTTATCTAAAAAATCTCCTTCGAATGGGTAGATAACGAACTCCAGCATTTTACCATGAGTATTTTTTCGTAACGGTTTTGGAATTTGCTCCTTAGAATTGCTAGTCTATTTCCCCAGTCCCCTTTCGAAACCAGTATATAATATCAACCAGCAATAATATCACCGAGTGTTTAGGGCTGTATTTTAATCTGGTAATACTCAATTTGATAATATCAGTGACATTAAATCTGGTTTAGCCTTTCTGGAAACAGGTTTCATACTATTTTCGTAACACAAGATTTTTCGAAGTTAAAATCTTCTAATTGGCAAAAATATACGAATTGGCACAAATATATATTTATCGAAATTTTTGAGTACCGATTTTGATATCCACAAAAAATAATGACTTCCTAGTCTTTTTAAAAAATCTCAGTGTATATAAAACCTCATTGAGAAAACGAAGCTCTACATCATTTCATCATCATATACATTGTATATGCAATGTGTGTTAATAACTGTTTACAAACACAAATAGAAACTCAATTGCAATAAATACACACTTTCACTGCCACTACTTGGTGTTCCAGTTTTCTTCAACTTGTACATTTATCCGTATGCAGATCATTTCCTGAGCTCATCCTTATGCGTTTTTCTGATGCATTTCGACCGGGCTTTGAAAGTGACGCAGAAGAACCAACACACATACATACGTGAATATTTGAACAATGGATGTGTCTACTACTGCAAAATCTCTCTAGAATAATTTCAAGTGCGCATCAGAAGGCGCTCTATATCACTATGCTTCAATAGGAAAACATCACACACACACGCACACATACACAAACAAACAGACACTAATATCCATACAGTTGCAACGGCAAATGAACGATGAGAATGAGGCCATGATTAAAGTAAAGAAAAAGTTGGAATAAAAAAAATATTTATGCCAAAAGTGTAGGGAATTCAGTATCAAACAAAGTTATGCGAAGCACAAAAAACAAAAGCAAAAAAAAAAAAACAAATAGAATGCAACCAAACAAGAGCACGAACGAAAAAAAAACGAAAGGAAATTTTTAAATAATGAAATTCATTTACTTGTAGACAAATGTTTCAAGGACTTTTCACAATGTTGCTGGTTGAAGGAAATGCAGCATTTGAATACAATATAAGTTAAGCACTGTGCAAAGAAAAAGCAACAGCAGTAGCGTCAGCGCCTGCAACAGCAGTGTAGTTGCCAAGGACATCGAAAAGAAAAGAGGGGTTGTAATATTATGCAAAAAATATAAAAAAATATATGAAAAAATAATGTGCAAAATAATATGAATTAAAAGTTAAGGCAAACAAGAAAATGCCTCGAAGAGTTCTTAAAGGGAATAAATTAATGCAGAAGGTAAATAAGGATCCTTAGTGCAGCAGAATGTAGAAGGAATGCAATTTTCGTGTTTTGTAATGAAATAAAGAAAGCAAAATGTGGGGAGGGGGTTGACTTAGAATTGAGGTTTTAAATATTTAAAGGGACACTATAATATTTCTGGTATTGTTTAAATGTGTAATGTTGTACACGATTTTAATATTTGGTGGCTAGGTAGGATCGGTGCGATTCCGAATTGAACTAGATCTCTGGAAAAAAATGGTGTTTATTTATTATTTATTTTATTTTTTTTTATTTTTAGCATAATAGTAAGGCAAAGTAGTAATATCCTTTGCCTTACTAGTATGCTAAAAAATAATAATAAATCCAAAAATAGAAGCAAAATAACTTTTTTTCCACCCTCCGTCATACGTGGTATAAAGGGTATATTAAATTTGTCATTCCATTTGTAACTCATCGAAATTATTCTCCTATACATATTATACAACATAGGATCTGTCCGTATGTTGTAGTCATGATAGAGTCGAAGCAAATAGGAAGCTAACATTTTGCAAAGATCTGCCTTTTGGCTGCAGGCAGGAAAAGTTCGAAAATGGGCTATATCGGTCCACGATATCGTATAGTCCCCATATAACAGTACCACCCGATATTCGGTATTTTGATGATTTTAGACACATTTCACAATAGATTTGTCTGGAATCCGATGTTCTTAATAGGCACTAATGAATCAGACAAAAAATTGTGTAAATAGGTCAATTACTGCCTATAGCCCGCAAATAACGGGACCCCCATATATTCGGTATTTTCATGACTTTAGTAATATTTGTATGGAATAGTCTTCCCCAACACGAAGATGCTGTGTACATGTTCACATATTACCTCATCTCCATATAATGGAACCCTTTTGCTATTCGACATTTTTATAAATTTAGTCAGATATTTTAATGGGTTTATTCCTAATAATAGTAATCATATTGGTATTTTGATGGTTTTCATGACATGTTTTACAGTAGCTTAATAAATGTTAATCATTTTGCAATAATGGATCTATTTGGATTATATATTTCAAATTTGCCGTTTTAAATAGATATTTTACGAAAAATATATAGAAAATATATTTAAAACCAAGAAAGCAAAGGCTTTAGTCGTACGGGGCCGACCATGTGACACCCTACAACACTACAATATGTTAGAAGCCCCCTTATATCCAAATCCATTTTGGAAGATTTCGCTATTGAAATTATGTCACGGAGCACTGCCCAGATATTACCCTTAGCATTTGTACCAGTGACATTTGCCCAATATTTACGCACTACGTCGGGCTGTTAGTTCCTGTGATCCATATTACAGCTAAATATAATCCAATGATCATCCAGTATGCTAGAATTTTTCCCTGTTATAAATTCTCTTTTCAGGCGTGTCGATTGGTTTCAATTGTGTGATCAGAAAATGTTTACTGTTTTTGGTCCATTTCAACCCCTATATACTTTGCGATCATCTCCAAAAGCAAGAGGCACCTCTGTATCTCTAAATTTAGACTGATCTATATGATTTGCTTATCTACGATATTTGGGTATATTCATCAACGAAATCAGCATAAGAAAGCCAGAAGTTCGCCCTTTTGTGTATTTCGGATATCGCCTGCAAGTAATGTTGGTATTTTTCACACAAATGTAGTGGTCAATATTTCTATTTGTGACCTTTATAATGGCTTCAAAATCAGGAACATTTTTAGCTGTTTGTCCATTTCAACCCCTAAATATGTGGGGACATCTATGAAAACAATCGGCCTAGCCCTTCTGATCCTAACCCTACTCTTGTGAAAAGTTTCGTAAGGATCGGACGATAATTGCAATCTGTGTATAATAACCCCAACCTGTGTTGTAAGGTGAAAAAATATAACAAAATATACACTTCAATATTAAAAATCAAATTGAAAAAATCGCATGCGATAAAAAATATGAAAAAATAAAAAAATGTCACAAAATACTACAAAATCTATACTAACCTCGTAATTTTCATCTTGTTATGCGATTTTTTAGATGTTATACTTTTAGCATAAAGGGCATTCTGAATTAACAAAATTTGTCAATTCTTGAGATATAAGCATTCTAGCTAACATCCCCTTCCTTTGTACACATTGTATATATTTCGCTACACAGACCCGATATATTTACTATCAGCATCTACGTAACGGTCAGAATTGACCTGTTCGTCTATTTGTGGTTTCGCCGGGATTAAAAATATTCCCGGTGTAATGGAAAATTTGATTTTTATTTAATTTATTTATTTACATACAAAGCTAGATCGACTAACCTCGGCAAGGTATTAAGATCCATATAAAACAACCTCTGTGCGGGCCAATATTTCGAGGTATTTCATAGTTATTGGTCCAATAAAATTTATCTACTAGGGTAGTAGGGTATAAAAAGCAGCAAAAATACCCCTTTGATGAATCGTTTGGAGGATACAACTTTTGACCAAAATAATTCTCGTATTGTTATCAGTAGTATTGCCGAATACGAAAACCAAATTCAATGATTCCAAGGATTCTTAAACCGAAGGTTTCATTAAAATAAGGTAAGTTAACGATGTAAACTTCAAAAAGTAAAAAAAATGCAGCAAATTTCGATCAGGCCGAACCTTTAGTACTACCCACCATTTGTAAGGAACATGCAAATATAAAAATTGTTAAAAATGTCCCTAAGATTTTTCAAAAAGCCGAATGTCAGGTTTTGCAGTTATATGGGGTTATACAAAAAAATAGACCTCTATATTCATTATCTACCAGAGAATCACAAACTCCAAAATATAAATAAAATCATCAAAATACTGTATGTATGTACGATGACATAGGTCTCTACATACAATTTGTGTTATGTAATTTCGATGAAATGTATGACTTGAATCATCGGAATACCGAATATATGGGGGTTCAGCATGACCCAAACACCTTCAATGTAGGAGCTATACCAAATCGGGGACCTAAGTTCTACGGACTTTAAATACAACTGAATAAAATTGTATAAACTTAATAAATTTCGCTCTGACGCTAGAGTGATTTCCACAGGCTAACGTACAGATCTAAATCTAAAATTTTCTGACCACAATTGTATACTCTTTTTATAGTCAAATGAATGACAAACTTAATAATACTACAAAATCCACTGAAAATTCTATGACGGTCGGTCCATACTTGCAGCCAATAACAACTCAACTCGCCGAGATGTAGTGATCAATATTCCACAGTTTGGGCATAGGACCACTATTTTGAGGTGTTACATATATTTTCGCCCAACCACAGTGTGGTGGGTATAAATACAATACAATATACAACTTATAACCTTAACCCCAAAAACAACAACAATATACCTCTAAAAAAAACTTGTTTTGCCAAAAAAAATATTGGTATAACGAATACCCTCTTATAAAAAATTACAATTTCTATTGTTAATATTTATTCCAAAATTATCTTTATCCTCCACTTTTTTGTTTTATTCTAATTGCAGGTAATCACTATCACCACCAGCAGCAGTAGCCCCCACTGGAAACGTTATTTTCTTTTCAAAAACCTTCCCAAAAAAACCATCAGTTTTATAACTAAGACTGACATTTGAAAATTAAATCCTTTCTCGTTAACCGTAACAAAAGATATCCATCGCTGCTGAACAAATGAACAATCACCTGAAGGAAACTTCCAAATCAAGTGCTGTGCACTAACGGAGGGCAAAGCAACAAAAAAACAGAAAACAAAGAAGGAAAAATAAAAATACAAGTTAATTAGCGTTAAAAATAACTAAGACCCCCTTGGATGAACCACGAACAAAATAAAAAAAAAAAAAATAAAATTGAAAACAACAAGACACAGGATGAGAGAATTAAAATAACTACAAAAACAAAACTGCAGAGGAAACACTAAATAAAGCTCAAATATATATATACAAAAAAAAGAGAAGGAATAAACACCGGAGAAAACAGAACAACCGAAAAGTATATAAAAATCCTCCATAAGCTCAAGTGTACCTAATACAAAACTTAAAACTTAAGCAAGGTAAAACAGCAAATCTGCCAGCGAAAATCCTCACCTGACCACTTCTGCGCTGCGCGTCCACATACAAAGAAACAATGGCTCTTGTTGCATCATTAACAAGCGAAAATGCTTTTTCTTAACTGCAATGAATCGCAAACAACAACACCAACAGCAGCAACAACAGAAAAGTCACTATTACGACAACAGCAGTGGCATTATAATCATCAGCCACAGCCACAATAGTAAATACAAGGACAACCAAACAAAAAACACCCATCACAAAAAAGGGAAACTGGGTTCCACAATCAAACCACGTCACGCAGCAGGGGGCCAAAATTACGCCACACATACACACACACACACTCGCATAGGCTACTAGTAAGTGAGTGAGCGAAAAAAAGGCAAAACCTGGGCCACACACATCCATTAAAATCCGTTCTTAAATTCCACCAACCACTCTTTATGTACGTGTGTACCACGATATTCAATCCAACAAGCCTAGACTAGAGGATAGAAAAAGGTATTTGGAAAATTGTAACGCTTCAGAAATTAAATTGCAACATCCGCCAGCAGGAAACATTAAAATTGTTCTAGTTTGTTTTGTTGGTTTTTTTGGCTGGTATTTGTTTTACATTTTATTTGAAAACAAAATCACACACAACCTCATTCCTGTACATGCAAAAAAACACGCACACACTCACAGATATTCCCATTTACATAAACACATACGTATGTACACTTTGTGTTAGACCTGGACAAGAGATAATAAATTATATGCAGAACACATGAGCCGAACAAAATTATATCGAAATAGTTGCAAAACAAACATAAAATAATACAGCCAAACGTTATAAAAATAAAATCACCCGAAAGAAACAACAACGAAATTCCATCGACTTGCTAACATCAAAAATTTCAACACCAGCAACAAAAACAACAACAACAACAACAACAAAAATATAACACACACAATGATTCCACACAACGCTGTCGATGTGGTCTCCATGGCCAACATGGATTTGTTAAAACAACGCCGAATATCGATGCTGTTTACATGGCGCCGCTGCCTGGGCCTTGTCACACTGCTGCTGATATTTGTGGCAAATCTTAGTTCAACCAGCGCTCAAATTGATTGGGACGATGACGAAGATCCAGGTAAGCAGAAATCTATATATATATATTTTGTGTATATTTTAGAACATATTTTTGTGTGAGTGTGGATTATGGTATTGGGATTCATAGATGAGAAAATGTTGACATAGTAGAGGGATATATAAATATATATAGAGAGAGAGAGAGAGCCAGCGAAAGAACGAGCTCTGTGGAATTATAGTAATTAAAAACGGATGAAGAAGATTTAATTGCAAAAAGAGTAGTTGAAAAAACGATACGAATTGAAACGACAAATATTAAATGGCAAATAATTAAATGCAAACATAATTTGAAATTTAGTTGGAAATATATTTGCTTTTAACTAAGGAACGGAGTTAAATATGATTAGTAGTAACGTTACGTAAATGCATTTATTTTCTAGAGTTAAAAATGTTCGCTATTTGAACTATAATAATTTATTAAGATGATCAAAATATACTAATACTCTTATATCTGTGCACTGTGAGATTATAAAGAATGACACTCTGCTTCTATTAAGTACATTCTATTACTATATAATTCTGTAAAGTTATGAGGAAATTCCGTTAGAGGACAAGACACAGAATAGATATAAATTATATATTTTTTTAACATATAACAGCGCCTAAGCACCTAAGTTCGGTCGGACTGAACTTCAAATACCCTCCACCATTTGGAAGAACCTTAACAAATTTAAAAAAAAACTCTGAAAATTACTACTTACATGAAAACTGTTAAATCGGGACTATACGAAGAATACTATACCGAGTATCGGGAGGTACCGTCATATGGGGGATATACTAAGGCGTGGACCTGCATACAAAATAGGTTGTTGTAGTCATTAAGATCTTCCAATACGAAATTTGAAACGATTCCGGTGAATAATGTTGCTGAAATCATGAAAATAACGAATATCACGGAATCATGAAAATATCGGGAGGTACAGTTATATGGGGGTTATATAAGAACGTGGACTGACATGGCCCATTTACGAACTTAACCTCCCTTCTGGTAAACTATGCATTTATGCCTTTTAACCTTCTATGTCAATTCGTTTGAAAGATTACATGATTACAAGATTACGTGATTACAGCAGACAGGCGGTCGGAAGGACGGACGGTCATCGCTAGATCGTCTTGGAATTTTACGTTGATCCAGAATATATATATATATATATATATATATATATATATATATATATATATATATATATATATATATATATATATATATATATATATATATATATACATATATATATATATATATATATATATATCTATATATATATATATATATATATATATATATATATATATATATTGATATGTATAGCCCATTACAACGGTAAATACTGAATGGGTCCCTAAGCCCAATTTCCACGCTTTAGGAAATTAAGGGTTGGCCGATTTGGTCATAAATTTATTTTTCACATGATAGAGGGTATACAATTATCGCCGTTATTATACCCTCCACCATTCTATGGAGGTTATATTAGCTTGGCTAGACCGTCTTAGCTTCGCTAGATCGTCTTGGAATTTTACGTTGATCCAGAATATATATATATATATATATATATATATATATATATATATATATATATATATATATATATATATATATATATATATATATATATATATATATATATATATATATATATATATATATATATATATATATATATATATACATATATATATACATATATATATTCTGGATCAACGTAAAATTCCAAGACGATCTAGCGAAGCTAAGACGGTCTAGCCAAGCTAATATAACCTCCATAGAATGGTGGAGGGTATAATAACGCCGATAATTGTATACCCTCTATCATGTGAAAAATAAATTTATGACCAAATCGGCCAACCCTTCATTTCCTAAAGCGTGAAATTTGGGCTTAGGGACCCATTCAGGAGTTACCGTTATAATGGGCTATACCACATTGCGGACCTACATTGAATATCTAACCCAAGAATATCAATAAAAATCATTTTGCAGTTGATGTGGTTAAAAACTGAAGGTACTTTCTTAGCCCTAAAGGTAGACCAATATAGCACCGTAGAGGCATCAAAAACTTCAAAGAAAAATTTCGTTCATATATCTTCAAAATGTCAATTAAATCGACTTAGACTATTATTCTAATCACGAATATGAATATTTTGTGGTCTCTGAAGTTAAGAAACTCTTCATCTTATTGTATGGGGTAACAAAAATTTCAAATATTCGGTTAATGGTTACCTTCAGAGAAGATGGTATCACTGTGTTATATGGTCATACAACTTTCTTATGTTTCTATAGGCCGTCATCCTTTTTTTGACACTTTGTGGTTATTCGGACACCGCGATAAAAAATAGGTCCCATTTTGTTGAACTAAATATTAAAACATACCTCACACTGTTATATGAGTGAATATTTCAGGACCTTCCCATGAAGATCGTGAAAGTATAATACTGTGACGCAGATTGTGGAAATATTACGAGTACACTGTGGGCTTACGCCTGGGGTGAAAAAATCCTTTTGGGGTGAGAGGCTTTGGCTCGTGAGGTGAACTTCCAAGATACATCTTGATGACTTTTTACTTGTGTCCTTTAAATGCATAAAGAAATTTGGTTGCAGCTTCGAAGCGTACATTTAGACCCCACAAAGTATATATATATTCTTGATCAGCATAAAATTCTATATCGATTTAGCGATGTCGATGTCCGTCCGTCTGTAGAAATCACTCCAGCTTCCGCACAAACTGAAGTAGGTTGATAAAATTTTACTCAAATGTATATTATGTCTGCACGACTTTTGGTATTAGAAAAGGGCCATTCCACGTTTTGGTACAACCCCCATATAATGGTACCTCCCTTTGTTCGGTATTTTGATGATTTTAGCGATATTATTCACCGGAAATGTTTCAAAGATGGTATTTGAAGTTTGTAATGGAACAGAAAATTGTCTGTGCAGGTCCAAGTCTTCGTATAGCCCCCATATAACGGTACCTCTCGATATTCGGTATTTTGGTGATTTTAGCTACATTTTCACTTTCCAATTGGATAACTAATTTGTAATATTTTTTAGTATTCCTTTTTTAAAATATACCCAACTTTGGCCAATACATTCTATTAAGCAAGTTCCCTTTTATTTCCGAAACCGATTTCTCTTTATATATGTCACATATTGATACCCTACAACATAATGTGCTGCGAATTTTATAACTTTGATAGGGCCAAAAAGTTTGTAACACCTCGAAATAGACATAAGATATAGAACGTTACAGTCTTGCCGAGCTGAATCGATCTAGCTATGTGTGTCCGCCCGTCTGTCCATGTAAAATTGTAGTCAAGATACAGATCGGAAGTATGGTCCAATGCTTACGAAATTTTGCATGGAGGTGTAGTCACGGTCAAAATTGAAACATATTGTGTTTTGAAGAAATGGTCCAAAAGCAGAAAAATTTCTTGATTTTGCAGTTTAAGGCCGAGCTGAGAAGCCTATCAATTTTGATGGTCATCGAGTGAAATAGACCATTTTCACTAAACTGCGAATATATTTTATTTTAGCGGATTCACATATACACAAAAAGGTCGCTTAAGACCGTTACATTGATGCTGATATCCAAAATATCGGATGTATAACAAAATATATGCAATATAATATATCAAAGAATAGGATGGGTTACACTGCTCCTAACTCAATAGCGGTTGGACGGAATTTTGCATGAGGCTAGAATTAAGACAGGGCTGAAGTTTAAAATTTTGGATGACCATTGGATTATATGGGAGTGTTTCTTAGGGGAATATTCATTCTACTCTATTAAGCAAGTTCCCTTTTATTTCCGAAACCGATTTCTCTTTATATATGTCACATATTGATACCCTACAACATAATGTGCTGCGAATTTTATAACTTTGATAGGGCCAAAAAGTTTGTAACACCTCGAAATAGACATAAGATATAGAACGTTACAGTCTTGCCGAGCTGAATCGATCTAGCTATGTGTGTCCGCCCGTCTGTCCATGTAAAATTGTAGTCAAGATACAGATCGGAAGTATGGTCCAATGCTTACGAAATTTTGCATGGAGGTGTAGTCACGGTCAAAATTGAAACATATTGTGTTTTGAAGAAATGGTCCAAAAGCAGAAAAATTTCTTGATTTTGCAGTTTAAGGCCGAGCTGAGAAGCCTATCAATTTTGATGGTCATCGAGTGAAATAGACTATTTTCACTAAACTGCGAATATATTTTATTTTAGCGGATTCACATATACACAAAAAGGTCGCTTAAGACCGTTACATTGATGCTGATATCCAAAATATCGGATGTATAACAAAATATATGCAATATAATATATCAAAGAATAGGATGGGTTACACTGCTCCTAACTCAATAGCGGTTGGACGGAATTTTGCATGAGGCTAGAATTAAGACAGGGCTGAAGTTTAAAATTTTGGATGACCATTGGATTATATGGGAGTGTTTCTTAGGGGAATATTCATTCTACTGATCAGATCCTGATTGTAGACTTTGCTTACTTGTTTATTACTAACCTTATATATTCGACTAAGAGAACAAAAAGTTCCACCATTGGCACTAGACAACGAAAGTATTGCTTAAGTCCCAGGCTAGTCATCCTCTAAATAAATCTTTTAAATTTTTAAAAAGTATCTAAATATTTTTTATTTTTAAATTATCGCCTTGTATAAAAATATTAAACCTTTAGAATTTACATTCTGACATTGCCAAGAAAACAAGTTCAGTTTTTGTTTTAAGCCCCAAAAAAAATATTGTTTTCAAAATCTCCAACAAATTGTGCCAAAACAAATTCTGGCAAGTAGAAAAAAATATTTACTTATTGTCTTCTATCCTTTGCAGGCCTTTCCTTCCCAAGGGAATATTAATTATAGCAAAATAGTAGAGATCAAAGACATTGTGCCTGAAGTTATATGTAAACGTATGGAATGGACATCCGTTTGATGATAACTTAATTGTATAATCTTTATAAAGCCAAGAGGATAACACACATTTAATTGGTCA